AATGGAGAGAAGATCTGTGAGGCTGCTGAGAAAATACAAATGTTCCCTCTGCACCTTCCAGCTCCCCCCTGCAGTACTGGCCACGTTTCTTCCTCCTCCAGGCTCCCTGTGTCCTCCTTCTTTCCTCCTCCAGGTAAAATATTCCCCTTGCAGCTCTCAAATCCATCCCCTCCTTGCCCTGCCACGACTCCCAGCAGCCAGGGGGGTCTTTGCTGCTCCTCCCAGGTGGATTCCTCACAAAGGTCACACCACCTCCCCTCGCCCACGGAGCTGTACAGTCCGGGCAGGTTTTGCTCTCCCCAGGAGATGGCAAAAGAGGCAGAGAAAATGCCAGTCCCCTCACCCCACCGGGGGCACTGGCAGCTCCACTGGTGAGAACAGGGAACGGCAGACAGGCTGAGCAAGAGAGGACTGACAAATCCTGATTAATAATAAAGTCATAATCAAAGCATGCCAGCTGGCAGCAGCACGGTCTGTCAGCGGGCTGGCTTTGTGGGGAGGGAGCCTGCTGGCGTCTGGGCCTGGGAAACTCGGGCCTGGAGGAATTGTGTATGGTGAGGACTCCACCTCCTCCACTCAACCCTTGCCCTTGTCAACAAAAGCCTCACCTTGTGCCTCCAGTGTCCTGGTTAGAACAGCTGGGACCAGCTCATCACTGGATGGGTGTAACCCAGAACCGTGTATTCTAGAGCCTTCCATGCCATTGCCCAAAACCTGGTATCAATAGACCATTTACACCCTCTGCCCAGAGCAGCCCTGACCCCTCAGGCTGTAAACTGGGTGTTAAGAGGCCTGTGAGATAGGAGGGTGCTCCTGTGCTCACACCCAGTGTGGAACTGTGAGATAGGAGGGTGCTCCTGTGCTCACACCCAGTGTGGAACTCCCTGCCCTGAGAGAGGGACTGGGTATTCCTGCCTGAACCTGAGGATATATAATCTTGGAGTCTTGGGACTTTTTTAACCACTCCTGGGATCCAGAGAAGGACTGTGACCACCACTCTCAACCAAACTGCAATCACCACTCTTGCCCAGACTGCACCAGCACTCTCACCAACAGGTTTTCCCCTCTCCTTTTACTTTGGACCCAGGGGGCCCAAAGAACACCACTCTGTTCATGCCCCAGGGTACTGGGTTATACATTTGGGGGTTGTGGGTTAAACCCAACTGTTTGTCTGTATAATCGTACTTATTGTATTATTTTATTAAATTGTTATTCTGATTTATAATCTCTCCTTTGAGTTGGGTTCATTTCTCCTGCTGGTTTACCTTTAAACCAGCACATCCAGACAAGTCCCAGTGCCTGGCACAGTGCTGGCCTCCCCTTTGGCCAGGGCAGGGACTGGGTTAGTGGTCTGCAGAATCAAAAAACAGGAGTTTTAGGGCTCACACTGAAGGACTCGGTGACATTCCTGACTCCCACCCTCCGGGCCTGGCACAGATGGGCTCACAGGAAACACACCTTGGCACAGGGAGCTCACATGCAAGATGTGCAACGAGGGAACGAAATGGGACACATGCACAGCAATTCACAGCTCCAGATATGGTATTTGATGGAGAAAAAGTCCATTTTAAAGACATTGCCACCCCTTGGAATCACATACAACCACAGTCTGCAGGTCTTCAACTTCCTCAGATATCACCTGTAAACATTGTCCTGGTACCAAACCTATTAGATGTTAGAAGTCTGTAGAATCTCTATTTTTTTTGCAATAAAATCTGAGATTTTTATGTTTCTCCCATTCCAAAACAAAGGGTGGAATTATTTCAAAAGGTATATTAAAAAGAAAATGAACATACAATTTTTTCCCAACTGGAAGGAGATTTGGAATGGTTTTGGAATATGAATCAAGCTTGTGGATTTCAGATTGCTTTTCCTACTCACACACTCAAGATACCTCTTCCCACCTCCACTCAAGAGAACAAGTAGGGACACAACTTCTAACATTTTTTTATTGTTATTTAAGAAACTTTTGGTACAGCAGATGACACAAAATGTGTTAGCTGCCTACTTTTGCCGAGATGCACAGTGAACTTCAGTAACACGCCATGAGCTGAATTAAATTGTCTGCCAAAAGCAAGCAAACTTTTCTAGACAATCTGTTATTTGACACACTGCAACCAGTAAAGCCTGCTGTACCATCTGCTCTGTGTAAAGTGCAGGGGACGTGTTTTACACGGTTTCTAAACTTAGCAGTGAGCCAGAGTCAACATTTCTGCAGTGGGGATCCCCTCTAAGAAATTCTATCAACAGCTCTTGCCCTTTTGGCTTCGTGTCCGAGATCCAAGAAAATCCCTTTCCCCATGTGCTTCACTGCCCTTCCAGACAGACTCAGGAGAATTAAAAGTCCTTTCAAAGTCTTGCTGGTGATCTCATGATTAACTTTCAGGGCTAAGAAAGCACCGTGGCTCTTCAAGTTCTGCAACACCACCAGGATGCAAACTTTACAGGTATTTGGGTACAGAAATTATAGGTTTAAATTTCTCTTACCTAAAATACACTACTTTGGAAGAGCCTTGGTATGGGTCCTCTTGTCCATGCTGTAACTGTCCCAAAAACAACCCCCCAGCTTTGCCTTCGGAGATGTGTTCCACGGCCCCGGATCTGCTGCCCCTTCCCTGTGAGACAAGGAAAGCAACAGAAGCTCCTGTAGTGCTTTTTGGCTCAGAAACTCATGGACCATTTACCAGTTATGTAAAAGATAAAGATGCTGAATTTTCTTCCTTGGGAGTGGATTATGACCCAGGCACTCAGTGACTCCACTGGAAAATTGAAGAGTCATTGCAGTTAAACTTGCAAGCCCAGCTACAGGGCACAGTTAAAAAACCCAACACCTTTGTAGTCCACCACACTTTTCCATCCCAAAAGGCCTCCTATCTAGGATTCAAATATGAAAATTGCAAATTTAATTATGTAATTACAGTAAGAGTCTTGCTTTTCATGAGCTTACCCTTGTAAGAGAAAAAGGAAACAGGTCAGCTTGATGTGACATCTGAGAACAGTCATATATCTAAATATCTATACATCTATACCTTTATTTTTAATTTTCATAGATCAGAGGATGGTTTGGGTTGGAAGGGACCTTAAAGATCATCTAGTTCCAACTCCCCTGCTGTGGGCAAGGACATCTTCCACTAAACTAGGTGTTGGAATATTCTTTGTAGCCCTGACACTTTATATTTATTATTAAAGCTATGCCAAGGCTGTGACTACATCCCAAATGTAAACAGTGCACTTGTATACTCGACACCAATTTATGGAGTGGGTGTCTATGATGGATTAGTAAAATTCCATAGCATGTTTTAGGAATCAAACACAGCCTCTTTATCAAAATGCTCAGACACATCAAGTGGGTTATAAATTGGCTCTCAGCATAAAAAGCAGATTAAAACATTAATTTTTAGTCTCTCTGTGGTTTTGATTCAAGCACATTAACTGTTTGTTTTCCACTGTGTGTTTCCAAAAGAATGATTTGTTTATAACAGGTTTAGGGAAGCTGGTGTTGGGAAGGGAATATGACCCTTTAATTTACTAAATATCAAGATCTACACTTCCCCTGCAAGAAATATTATTTATGCCAGAGAACAAACTTCTCAGGTCCCCCAGCTGACTGTTAGAAGCCCATCAAGGAATAAAGCAAAGTACTGATGGAGACTTGCAAATGAAAAAAACCACAAGTATTCTTTACTCAAATAATTCAGAACAGCACACACAACTAGCATGTGCTGGTCAGTGGCACCACATATTGTATTTTTCTCTGTAACAGGCTCATTCTTGGTGCAGAAAGGATTTGGCTCAGGGCAGTTTGCAGAGCTCTGTCCCCCAGCAGCTGGGCAGCATTACCATTGTCAAAGGCAGTGGAGACTTATCAGCATTGCTATCCAAGGATCTTCCTTGGGCTCTGTGTCCAGGGGTAGACACAACAAATTCTCCTCTGTAAATGTCAGCACTCGAGCTCTGCTTTCCCGTTAACACACAGGTGGAGGATCAGACCAGAGATCAAATGTCAGAGGCACTGACGACAGGAAATTAAATCAGTTTAGATGGAAGCCAAAATAATACCAAAACTTTATTATTAGATCTCTAGTTTTCTGCAACATGACATAATTTTGAGGTCAAGGGAGTAGATGAAGGTTTTGAAGGAGCTGTGATTTAAACCCCCCAAGGAGGACCGAGGGTGACAGCTGACATAAACTGACACATCCAGAGGGAGATGCTGGGATGCTGGGGGATGCTGGCTGGATAATTCAGCTGGGAGAGTCTCAGAGGAGTTTGAGAGCCCCTGCAGCACAACTGAGCTGCCAGAAGTGGTGGAAGCTGAGTTTCACTAATCCCACCCGTGATGGTCTCTCCCAGCTGCAGAGGAAGCCAGCAACTATCCACCTCTCACTGGAGAGAAAGTGTGGCCATGTGAGTCTTTCTTGCTTGACACAGGAACTGGGATTCCTGCCACTCAAAGATTACAGTAGGGCTGCAGCAGGCTGGAGCCAGCCACAGCTTGGCACTGGCTTGGCAAGGAAAGAAGGGCATCTTCCTCCAGCTGTGCAGGAGAGCCCTGTGTCACTGCACAGCCTCACGTTGATCTGAGTTCCTTCTCCATATCTGAGCAGTGGAACATTCATCAAACACTCAGTAAGTTCAGATTTCCTTTCTGCTGCCTATTCACTTGGTGTCCAATCCATATCCTCTTGTCTGACAAGCTCTGGCCACCTCTCCAAAGCAGGTTTTGAACTTGAGCTTCAAGTGGGTCTCAGTCTTCACCTCTCCGCTTTCCAGAGCGACTCAGAAGCAGGAAAAGTGGGGAGGCTGCAAAAACAACTTCCAAATTCACCTTAAGGAGCAAAGAACTCAGAGTCCAGAAAAAACACACATTGCACCTCTTTGCAGCACTGGAGAAAACAAAAGGCAGGGTCTGGAACAAGAGCTACAGCCACAGAATTACACTGGCCATGGACACACAATATTTAAAGTCACTCAGGCTGTATATGTGAAAGGTTGCATGAATAACAGACTTGCACATGCAATGTTAACACAGCAAGTGTCAAACACGAGTTCAGGCACAGAAGCAGCGGAAAACAGAGCTGGGAATCCAAAAATCACGCCGTGACATGCTGGGGGAGAAAAAAAAATAAAAGCTCAAGCTTTTGGCCTTGTCCTTCATGCTTCTTTGGTCTTGTACTTGGAATACAAGCAATAGAGAATCCTCATTGTAGTCTTCATATCTCCCTTCACAATATCTGTGGATACACAAACCAGGGACAACAAAAGCAGATGGGAAGTATTTAGCAATGCCTGGAACAGAAAGAGACTGCAACTGCCAAAGGATCTTCCACCTTTCCCCAATTAGAACGGGAACTGAGACAATCTAATTGCAACGAGAAGCAAAATAGGAACTACAGAGCTAGAAAACCAATTATTTATTAAAGGAACTTGAGGAAAAGGGACCTTCACTGCCCTATCTTGCTGTAAGACAGGGTAAATAATGCATAGTAAGAAATAATGTTTCACTAGCAGAGAACTGAGTAGATAATTTAATAGGGCTTTCTAGCCTTAGTTGTTTATGATTCTTCTATGTCAGGAACCATGTTGGGAATTACCTGACACTTTATTTTTGTTGTTGTAATATTTCCATCATCTTTCGTTGCCATTGGCTGCTTTCTTTTTTTGGTTTGTTTGTTTTCATTTAGTTTTCCAGCTTCTGTGTTCTTGGCTAAACAAACTGCTCTTGTATTTAATAACTGCAGTGGAAGAGGGTAACTGATTCAGAGGGTTTACTGTTCTTCTTACAATGTTGTAAATCACTGGGAGCAAGATTAACAATGAAACACTGGTAAATGAGATCCTGGAGCAGCCTAAGTAGTGTAGCTGTAATAAGTACCCTTAAATCATATTAAATTTACTCACTAGCTGAAGGTTTTCCCAGGGAAGCTAAAAAGGACTTGGAGATGTTGGCACCAGCATTTCTTATCCTGATCAACTCTGTGTTTGAGGCAGTGCAGAACAGCCAGAGGGAAGGGAGGAAAGCATGGATTTATCTCCTTTCACACAGAAGGTGGATCTCAGCATGGAGACCTGAGCTCACTCTTTTAACATTAACATAAATAAAGGCTATTTAGCTTTTCAGACTCCCAGCTCTATGTGACACAGCAAAAAGCCCACAGGCAAACTGCTGACATCACCAAATCATTCATGGAAAAAAGAGAACAGAAGAAAAAACCCAAAGTCCTAAATTCCATCTTCCCCTCTCCATGATTCCAAATGTCACATACCAAACACACACATCCACCTCAGAAGTAATTACCAGGGGTTGAGATAATCCTTTCCATTTTCAATAAAGATTTGACTTTCTTATTCAACTCCAGGCTTTTGGGCTTGGTGGAGGAAGGATGGGGGCTGTGCCCTGCAAGGGGTCAGGCTGTGCAGTCCCAGCACCACCCACTGATGCACCCACATCCCTCGGCCCACCAGGAGCTGGTAAAACATTCTTTGTGGAACTTCTGAACCATATTTTTGTTAATTGGAAAATTGGAACTCATCCAAATGAAGCTTTTTTTTGGTTATGGGGTTTTTTTTGGTGGTGGAACATGCCTGTATATTGATCCAGTGATGAAAGCACTCACTTGGATCAGCTCCCAGGTCTGAACCAAGCATAAGAAAAGCTTAAAACCTATGATTTTCATATTCAGGAGACTGACCCACCAGCTCTGCTGGGTTTAGATAGAGTGATCAGTGTTTCTGATTTTCAAGACATATTCTGCAAGGTTTCTTCCCACGTGAAACAAACTTGCTTTTAACGCACTGAAACTTTTTTATGAAATGGGAAAATAATTTTCCCTCCAGCTCAGCTGCTGTAATTTCCCTGGGAGCTGTCACTGGTTTAAATCTTTAACAAATACTGAATTACCAACCAGTTTTAGTGTAAAGTTACTAAACTTATAACAATCCAACTTTTTTTAGTAGAGAAATAACGATTGTTCAAAACAAGTCTTATTTTACCACTACTGTTCATTTCTGAACGAGGAGCTGTGGGGCAGCCATATAATGAAATGTGTCACATTGCAGAACCTGCTCTCTGCAATTAATCTAATTTTTGCTAAGCCAGGATATTAGCAATTCTATTCCAGACAAGTTTGCACGCCATGACTCACCTTCGGAGTTCACTGAAAAATTCAGAAGACCTCCATCTGCCAGCAAGTCCAAGGCAAGGTTAACGTTGTGGAGCTGTTTGAGAGAGATTAATATAATAGAAAATATTATAATATTTTCTCCCTGACAGTGCAGTGGCCAGAAGGCTTTAGAAAATATTTCTCTAGTAGCTAAAGATACTGATTCATAAATATGCACTCATATTCATCTCCTTAGTTTTCATGGAGTGCTCTTCAGAATTTCTACCAATTATAATATAAAATTAGATGTGAAATCCATCTCCAGCAAAATGTATCCCATGAGATGGGCAGAGGAATCCATCTAGTCAAAAATAGACCTTCACAAGTGAAAGACTTGTGTTAATGGATATTCCCATGGGGAAAACAGGCCAGATTCTTAACTGGATCTAATAGATGCATGGAGCTTATTTCTGGGTTTTTTAACAATGCCCACATGCCTACCACACCTGGAACAAACAAAAAATACAGAAGGAAAAAGTTCTGCATGTCTTATTCAGAATTTCCAGATGGGAAATCTCTGGATCAGCTGTATTTGTGAGCTAAAAGTTTCTGCTGGACCACATAAGGGTGTCCACACACAATAAGAGCATAAATGATATCCTCAATAATACTCATGAGGAACTAAACACATCTATGAATGAAGGCTGGAGCTTTTTCTCAAAGTTTTCCTCTGGTTTTTCTCTCCCTTCCCACATCAAAACAGTATCACACACATAAGCAGCAGTTGTGAATGGTTTTTTTAATTGTTCCCTTAATGAACCAGCACAGGTAAAAGGGCCACATTTCCCTCTCTGGAATGCATGTGAGATTTTCAAGGAATGACAACATGCAGATTTCAAAATGAATCTTCAGCCAGAAAAACTAATAATTACCAAAGAAAAGAAAGCTTGAAAAAGGAAATTGTTTTATCCAGCTGCACTTCCAGCTGGACAATTCTCCAGGATTTACAACTGGACAGGAGTCAGGACATTCGGAGTGTTTCAGTTCTGGGCATGTTTTGGCAAAAGTATCGAGTTCACACAGTTTTGAGAAGCCCTGGGGGCCCTCCTTCATCATCATCATCTTCACCTCTTGACTTTACAAAGCTCACCCCTAATTTCAACCTGAACGCTTTTGTGATCATATTCTTTGTCACAGAATGCACACCTTTCCCTGCACATGAGCAGCCAGAGGTGGACTTCTTTACAGTTACCTGCAAACCTCATTTTTTTGGCAATAAACACCCCAAAAACCCTGCAACCCCCCCCCCCCACACACACACAGAGTTGTCTTCTTGCACCTGCAGGCTGATCACATCCCGATTTCTGTCATGGGATGGTTTGGGTTAGAAGGGACCTTAAGGCTCATCTGCTCCTGGTTTCCTCATCCCCCCGTCCCTCCCTATTTCTGGTATCCATTTCCTCCTCACTCTCACTCCTTCCAGCCTCATTTCCCCTCCCTGCAGTTCATGAAGTGAAGCTCTGAACGTCCAGCTGTCCCTTCAGCTGGAGTGGAAGTCGATCAGAACAGTGCCTGTGGTTGTCATCACTTGAACAACACAAATGAGATCTTTTCAATCTCAGCAAAGGTTACATCTTCCCACTTTGCTGCACCAATTAATGTCTAAAATGACAGGGAGTCAAAAAGCACGGGGGAATTGAGAGACATGTTTTATGTCCAAGTGACAGCTGAACTACGGTCGATCAATATTTTTAGTTATGGTGTCATCCCACTGTGCATCTTGTAATGAACATCAGAGGAGAAGCAAATGCTAAATACCACTTTGGCAAACTGTTCAACAGCAAGCCCAGTGCTCAGAAGGAGCTTTGCTAAAATGAAATTACTCCAGTGGAAAGAACTGTTCTGAAGCAGTGCCCAACCCCATTATATTCTTCTCTGATGCCAGTGATGTGCAGGGTAAGAACTGGGAAGTCAGAGCTCTGATTTGTACCTGAATTGTAGGAATATCTCATTTCTAGAGAGAAATCTGTGAGGCTTGAATAGGGCTGAACCAAAACCAAAACGGTTATCTATGAAATTTTAAATAAGAAAATATTCATTGACTTCCTCTGGATAAAGTTAATGAAAAAGTTAAAAATTTCTTTCCAAGTCAGTGGACCAGGCCTAACAATTCTGAAAACTGGGTGAAGGAGAAAAGGAAGAAAAACTGCTCCAAGGAAATGCCCTTCAAAATATATTTTCCCTGTTCTTAGATTTAAAAAAAAAAATAAATCTATTTTTTCCTAATACCTTAAACAGTTACCCAGCTGACAGCAATGAAATGTTGGTGTTTGAACACAGGTCTCAAACAACTGTGCTTTTAAATGTTTTGATGAAAAGCTCCATGGGAATATTTATTCATTATTATGGGACCTCTGAGAATTTCCATTACAAATAAGACACTGACTGTGCTAAGGCTGGAAATCAGACAAAAGCTTCATCTGTGTGGGGAAGCTGTAATGCAAACCACACCAGAGGAGACATTTCCTTCTCAACTGAAAAGGATCTGACACATTTCACCTTCAGAAATCTGAGTATAACCCAGCCAAAACAGCTCCAGTGTCAAGATTTTCAGAGCTATTCTGTGACCCAAATGAAAAACCCCTGCCCAGCAGAGACAAGCTGAAAATATCTCAAATACCTCAAAACATATCAACATTCCAGACCTGTGGAGGAGGCAGCCCAGCACATGGTACCCTCTGGCTGATGACAGCTTTTACTCCTAAAGCCCAGATGAAATCTGCCTGCTAAAGGTTGCAAAAGCTGCCAAGCAGGTCTGGCTGGGGGGGTTACAGCTCCCAGCCTCCAGGGAGGAAAGGATGTCAACTCTCCAGAGCTTTCCAAGCAGAGGGGGCCTTCAAGATGTTCTGGCCATGTCTTGATTGAGGTATATTTTTAGGACAGCGTAGAAAAACCCAGAGGGATCCAGTTCTGCCATGCAAGGGGTGTCATCCCCTAAAAATGTCTGCAGGACAGGCTTGTAGGGGATAGCCCCCTGATTCCCCAGCACACAGACCCTCTACATTTCACCAGGAGGCTCCAGGAGCTCAGAGGTGCCAAACAAATGCAAGAGGTGCAAACAGCTGTTTGCCTCCCACGAGACGCTGATTTTGAAGACACCAAGGTCTTGTAAGAGCACCAAAGGTGTGTTTGTGCAGTCCCAAACACACACCCTGCAAAGCCTGCAGGGGTCTGACTTCCCACACAGCAGCAGCAGAGCCCTCCACTGCCATCAAAGGCACTGAACACACGAGGTGTTTGCTGTCTCAAGCTCCAAGTGGTTACAGAACAACCCACCATCTCCGTGGTGCTGGCTGGAGTCAGGAAGAAGTTCCTCAGATTCAGAAAGTAACCCTCCAGTTGTCCAATTAAGATAAGTAAGATAACTCCATCTGAAAACTAGAGGAAGAACGATCTGAAAATTATTTGGCTTTAGTAAATTATTCCCATAAATGCCATTCCAGCAGTAAAGGAATTTAAATGTTAGTTACTCTGGCAATCACAGTCTTATGACTCAGCTCCCTCAACCTCTTTTCCACAGTGAACTTCATATTTAGATAGATAAGGCTCCCAAATTCATATTAGTGAAGATATGACCTTGTAAAAGGACAGCTGTTAGAGCAAACTATTCCAGGTGTGGAGAGAGACACAAGTGACAAATGTGTAACTATAAATGACTGTATTTTTTCAATACTTTTTCAATAACTTCAGAGGCTGAAGCTTGATATCTCAACCTGAACCTGGAAATCATTGTTATGTTGCCAGATTTTAAATTGCTACAACAAAAAGGAGGATTCCTGGTGGTGAGAGGAAACACTGACAAAACCTGGTTTACCTGAGATTCAATGTCTTTCACACTTAATCCTAATTTTCCAACGTGCTGGTTGACAAATTGCAAAAACACCTAAAGAAAACAGAAGGAGAAGAGAGGGAGGGGGAAAGAAAAAAATAACTTTTTCAGTGGAGATTTAACTTTTATGTTTTGCCTAACAGATTTTGACGTCTACTAAAAAAAAGTAAATTACCTTTTTGACAGCCTCCAGTTTATCTGGAGCACGGCTAAATAATTCATCAAAGGCATCATCTGTATCAAAACAACATTAATTGGTTTTATTTTAAATAACTGTCAGCTCAGAGGTTTAATGTGGCTCCAGAAGGAGAAAGGTATTTGCAACTTAAAAACCAGGGAGGAACAGAGTTGTTAGGGGGGTGGGGAGAGATCCTGCTTTTGTATTTATGTATTTATTTATTTTATTTTATTTGTATTTATCAGAGGACGGGGTGACAGGCTTCCCTTCGGTCTGATTACATCACAGAAGACAATTTATTTCATTCAATAATGAAATTATTGAATTGAACTGAATCATTCAATAAAGAAATTATTGAAGGTAATTCCCTGCAGAGGTTCTCAAGATTTGTGCTGCCACCAGTCTGAGCAATGGCCAAGTTTATCTCTTTTCACTTATGGTTCTTTTGACCCTGAACCTCTGGGATGAAATACTGGGAGAAGAGGAGTTGTCCATTTTACTGCTCTGCCCCAACAGAAACATCACGTACATCAAATCTGCAGAAAAACCAGTCTCCTTCCTTCAAAAAAACCACAAGTTTGGAGACATTGCCCTTCCTCTGGAAACTCTGGGACCTCAAAAATGACCAGTTTAAAGCTGGCACTGAGCTGGCACTGAGCTGGCACACAGCTCATTTCTAAGGAAAGGAGATTCATGGAATGCCCACCCTCACCTCCCTTTTCAGCCCAGGTTTAGTGAGAGCAGGATCCAGCTCCTCACTCAGCCACGACACTGATTCAGGCATGAACAAAGCCTCTGAAACACTCCTAAAAATGAAGAGCACTCTGGCAGCAGAATTAAAAGGAGAGCCAGTTTCTACAGGAAAAGCAGTGTTGTTTTTTTTTTTAAACGGAGAAGCACCTTTTGCAGGAAAGCAAAGGGAGCTCTGTTTAGGGAATATTCCTCCCAAAAGACAGCGCCAGGGAAGCCTCCTTTGTGAAGGGGTTTCCTCACGTTTCCCTGTGCTCCCTGTTGGGGGGCTGCTGCAGGAGCAGTGCCAGGGAAAAGGGGAATCCATCAAACAAACCCCTGAGCAACAGCCTGAAACCTGCAGCCGCCGTGCAAACTGGAGAGCCCTCTCCTGGAGCCACGCTTTGGGATTTCTCTCCGCGTCAAAAACAGAGAGAGTGAGCATTTGGAAGAGTGAATTGCAGATTTCTCTTCACAGCAGAACCAACCCACTGAAAGAAACACCTCGTTATGGGTTGGGTTGGGGTTTTTTTTTCCTGTTTTTATTGTCACAATTTCAGCCCACGCTAGAGAACACCCAGTGGAATGAGTGATAAATACGTATTAGATGACATAGTTTGGACCTCTGCAAAGCATGAAAACACGAAAATAAAGGGCAGAGCAGGGAGTTGAAACAGTTGCCTTGGATCTCTGGGGATGCAACGTGCTCCTTTACCTTCTTTACAAGGAAGAGCAGCTCCCACTGAAGCCTGAGCAGTGCCCAGACCTTCTGCAGGCTCTGTGCACGTGGATATTTTTCCCCTCAAGTGTTTCACAGCCCTGAAAAGCACTAAAGGGTAAAACCTCTGGGGATGTTGCTTTTACTGAGCTGCCACCAGTAGATTTCAAAATCTAGTTTGCAAACTGTGGAAAGTGCATTGGAACTTTGGGAGCAACAAGCACAACCCTGAAGGCTTTATGGTCATAAACAGTTCCATAAATCCATGACATATTTTGCTCCCGGACAAGGCTTTGTTGGGTCATCATTTCCTGTCTCACCTCCCATCTCTTGCCTGCAATCCAAGGGCAAAGTGGCCACCCAATTCCCAAACTGCATTGTGATGATATGAACAGACATTAACATTTGGAGAAAAACACCAGGAAAAAAAATCAAAAAATCCCTGAATCTCCACTGACTTTAGTGGGAGCACACTGATTTTATGGTGAGGTAAAAATGGCTCAGGACACGGTGTATAACAGCACACAATAATGGAACACTGCACTTGGCAGTGCCAGCACTTACTTGACTGCGCTTCTGTGCTCTCTCTGGAAGTGCAATAAAAAGCAGGAATTAGAAAAATCATTCAGCAGAGCCAACCTTATTCATAAGCAAAGCTTATCTGCTATCTTGTAAAGGAGGAGATAGAGCTCCAAGTGCCATTAACTTCATGTCAGAGTGACTTTCCAAGAGACATTTCTAAGTACACTTCTTATCTGCATAAGCTCCTGGAAGCCTGTGAGATTTTAACTGGCCCACAGACCAATGAATTTTATAAGCACAATCCTTAATATCCTCTTCCAATAAGCTGCTCATGATATTAGAGTTTGAAGATGTTCTGGCATATAAAAATGATAGTAGGAAAATCTGTTTCTAGTTCTTGGAATGAAATCCATATTTTCTCAGTATATAAATGGTATCTTACTACTTAACTCCTTTGATAATGGCAGTACCTCATAAACTCAACAAACCTTTCTTTCTCAGCAAAATAAGGAAGGAATTGCCTCCTTTCTCTATTTAATGACACAACAGCAGCGAATTAAAAATACACTTAAACCTTTGTGGCTTTAGAAAATTTCTAGTTTAGTCTAGCACAGGTAGATTTACAGTACTGGGATTTTATTACTGTATTTGCTATGAAATTCCACACCAAGCCTTAGAAATAATCACGCATATTATTTTAGAGAAGTTTAGGTAAGGAATAAAGAAAGCTCTTCTGTCATAATACCAAATCTGAAGGGGGGGATAAAAAAAGGAAAGAAATCAGAGAAACAGCTCAAATGCATATGCAAGCCTGGGTTTGCACCCTTTGTCATCACCATGATCCCAGCTATTTTTTCCAAGGGGGAACACACCCACAATGGTTCTTTTCTGGTTGACAGTGTTAAAAAAACCAGATATATCCCCTCTTACTTGTTGTCTGTGATATTTTCCACCGCATTTGATGCCTTTAATCCTCTGGAGGTGTTCTGTTGAAAGGACAATAAAAAAACTGGAGTTTGGCACACACACACAGAGAGAAATCAAAAGCAGTAACGAGGCTTTCATGACTTGTTTGCAGCACTGGAGGTGGTCACCCCTGCCTTATAATAACCTTGTGCCACGGCCTGCCACTCACAGATAAATCCCCCCTGCAGAGGACTTCAGTTTTCTGGGATGCTTAAATTTAGGATGGCAATTCTTGACTATTTCTAAAGCCCCTTGGGAGCTTTTCTTACATCCTTGTTCCTTTTTTCCCCTCTATATAGTTCTCAGTACTCCACATAGCATCAAAAAAACAGTGCTTCCCCCAACTGACAGCCTGAAGAGACAGGCCAGTAAAAACTCCCTTCCCCTAAAGAAAGAAACCCTCAGCAACAAACCAGTGTCATAATTTATGAGTATAGGCTTCTACTTTAAAACATTTAGAGACAGTAACAGCAGAATATCTTCTTTTTCCTCTTTACAGGCACCAAAAGCTGTTTTCAGTTTGGATAATTCCTTTTTTTTTTTTTTTGATCAAGGAAGAGAAACAGCATAGTGTTTCTCCCCTTTAAAAAGTAGAGCTGAACTGAAAACTAAATCTAATCCAACAAGCTGAGAAATTAAAAGGCTCACAGAAAATATAGATACAATTCCAAGCAAGTTAGCCTTGTGAAAAGACTCTGGGTCCTATTGGAACTAGAAATACCTCAATGGTGATTGTTTCCACTTGAACATTTGGAGGCAGAGCCAGGTTGGGATTGAAGTGCTTTGCTATTGCAACCAGCAGGTGCAGTGTGCTCAGCAGGTCCTTTGTCAAGATAGCTGTTCCATGGCAAGAAAGAAAACACTGTTCAGTGTGCAAAACGAGTAAACTTCCCTCCAGCATCGGGAATTCTCCCTGTGCAGAGGATCCCAAAGTCGTGGGGGACCATAGCAGAGGTGGGACACCAGACTGGGGTTTGTACAACATCACCATTTAGCAATAGCACAGCTTCAAAGTTCTTGTTGGGAGACACGTGTGTGGACACTGAAGGCTGGTAAGGGACCCCCAAGCCACACACCCAGGGGAGGCAGAGCCAGTCAGGGGCAGGGATTCCTGTCTCACTTTTGATTCAACCAGTCGTTGAAAACAGGCTGTTTAATTGCTGTTCTGGCAGCTCTTTGCCTCCCAGCAGAAGCCCTGTGATGGATAGTTTCCTCCTGTTTCACTTCTGCACCTACATTCCACGCTCCACTTCAGCTGACCCTCCTCCAGCTGCAGACACTTGGCCACAGCTGCCATGAGCACAGAGAGTTTCTGCCGCTGCTTCTTCTCCGTCAACGCGATCTTGTCGACATCCAGCTTGAGGGACCCCAGCTTTTCTTTGAGACAGTCCACGGGAAGTGTAAGGCAAAAAAAAAAATTAAAAAAATAAATAAATAAATCAGAACCACGAAATGGCAGCAAAGCACACGAAGCCTTGTTTTAGATGTTTGATTGCTTCCACAGCCCCACGGCCTTTATGCCTTGTTAAACTCCTGTGCTCTCTGAAAGCCTCAGTAAAATCAGTGAAGCTCTGCAAAAGGGAGAGGACTCAAGTCATTCCTTGCAGGATCATCCCCCAACACTCTCCATTCCTTCTTTTCTTAATGGATGCTACAGAAACCCTACGAGTGAATCTTTCCTGTAGATGGTTTACAAAGAAATCCTCAGGCAACTATGAAAACAAGCCAATCCTGTCCATGCTGCTGTTCTCAGCCTTGGTGGAAAGGAGACATGATTTGAAAGACATCCACAAAGAGAGTGAAAAGGGAAAGAAAAATATAGTAGGGAGAGGAGAGATGGAGAAATCAAAACAAACAACAGGTTGCTCCAGGAGGTCACACCTTCATACAAGCACCACACAGCACCAAAAGCCTCTTTTAGACTTTTATCAGTTCCAGTTCCAGCCCAGTTCTTTAGACCTAGAGCTGTTTAATTTTAATTTTTTTTTAAAGCAGGAAAACATGTATATTACAGTGCTGATTCCATCCAATGTTTCTCAGAGCACCACAAGTCACCTCTGTGCTCCTCACTTATGAAATCCTCCTTTCTCTCAGACACGCCGAATTTCGCACTTCAAAATGCAAAACCTTTTTATTGTGTCGACTAGCAGGTCAAAAGATTTTCCTAGAAGTAAAATAATTATGTAAAACAACGGTGGATCATTGGGGCTTTTGCTCAGAATTGCAATTGTCACAGTTGGTTCAGTGCAGTGCTTCCTCTGCTAGGGAAGTGAGACCCTGGCAGGTCACTGCCAGTGCGAGTTGGGAGGTTTAGTCTCTGATCTGGAAGTTCCCCTGTGACGTGTCTGGGAACTAAACTCAAAGGAACAGCTTACCCAAGAGGTGATGAAGTACCAACCCATCAAACAGGTCTTCTTCCAGACTTTTAACTACTATGTGTTCCTCTTGCAGAGTTCTGTTAATCCAGTCAATCAAAAACTGCAGAGGAAAACAAAGCAGCTGCAGTTATATTCCTGTTGTTTAGACAGAATAGCACTAGGCTGTGCTTCACCTTTCTCTGTAGTCCCTTATCACATCTTGGTTTGCTTTCAACCTCCATGTCCTTTGTGCTTTTTGGTTGGTTTTTAAAGGGAAGTATCAGTTAGTTCTTCCCGCTTTTCAAGTGAGGTAGACACCTCACTAGTTATATTCCTATGAATTCTGTGGAATGGTTATAGAGTTGGGAGACCCATTCCCACTTCCAGCAAGGAAAAGGCTGCACATTACACTTCCCACCCCCTGCCTTTATCATATATCACAGAATTCACACAAATTCAGCTGCCAGGCAGAAGTTTGTAAGAAAAGAGGTTTCACTCATTCTGTGGGTTATTCCTTGTACTCATCCACGTTACTCCCACTCCTCCCTTTCCTCTCCTACTTTTGTTTCCTTTTCCTTTTTGCATTATTATACTGCACAGTCCCCAAATACCTTTTTGGGGTTTTCTTACATGGCAATCCTCCCACCAGCCTTTCCAATAGCCCTCCTGCCTTTGCAAGGGGCAGCTGCTCAGGAAGCCAAGGAGAGCTGGCTACAATGGGAAAGGAATCACATGTGCTCCTACATGAAGCTCCTAAGCACTTCCCCAAGCATGTGTTTTATCCACATATTTTGATGGAAAGGCTGAAGCAGAACAGAAAAGCAGTAGCCCCAGCTGGCTGCTAACATGGACATCCCTCTTGAAAGAAGGAGGGGTATTGCTTGTATCACTATTTGAGGGAGTGTCTGGAGTTTGTCTGCTGTAAACAGAGGAGAAAATTCATAGCAGGTCCCTGTGAGTTATCCAACATTAACAAAAATGTAAAAAGGGTTTGAAAAAAATATAAATATCTTGCTTGAAACTGCACAAGGAACGACAAATGCCTGAACTGAGAACCTGCCAAAGTGTAACACAAATTGTGTGCTAAGAGTGTTCCAGAGCAGAAGGCTGTGCTCCTCAGCTAATGCTTGCTTCAGATGTGTGAGGGGTAGAGCAGTACCTCAAATACAGAGGGAAGTCAGAAAAGCAGCACATAGTGCTGAGGACAGACCTGTCCCATCCCTCACTTGCTATCTCAGCTCCAACCAGCCACATCCACGGCCTGCACCTCACACAGCTCTGCTTTCTGACCCACTCAGCTGCAGGGCAGAGCCTTGTGTCTAAAAAGGAGGAAAGGAATACTTGGAGAAGTTTGCTGCTGGCTGCCCAGTGTAACCATCTTCTATTCTACATGCAGCTCGATATTTATAGTAACCACAGTGAGCCACTTCTCATTCCTTAGTTCTCCAAAGACACCTCAAAATGAAAATACAGTGAAAAATCTTTCTCCCAAGACAGTTTCCTTGCTTCCCTTGAAGACACCTCCCTGTCCCTGTCTCCATCCCAACCCCTTCTCTAGAGAAGCATCAATTCTTTAGATTAAGAAGACAATCAAGTGGCACTGATGGGCACCCAGAGGGCTGTGCCTCCCTCAGGACTCAATTTCCACCTCCACATCATGCAAAGAAAATAAATTAGACAATGAAGAACATTCTTTCAGGAATCCCTGTCAGAAAATGGATTAAGCACTGAAGCTCACAGAGATAATAAACTGAGTGAAACTCTTCATTTTTGGCAATCTGGAATGAACAAATCCAGTGTTTCTGTAGACAACATAATTGCATTTTGCAGCACCACCTTTCAGATTTTCTCTTCTGTATAGAAACATTGTGAAAGCCTGACACAAAAATCAAATCTTTTTGATCAAATGTGCCCAAAAACGTAATACAGGAACGCACCTATCCACGGGTTTATAAATGCCAGATAACACAAACATCAGCACACAGCTTGAGCTGCTTTTCATAATATTTATAACAATTTCAGCACCTCCACAATGCAAGAAGTGCTGGTCTCATGAGAGACATGCCATTTTCTTCCAGGGAATTGCAGTGTGTGAGCCTTCCCCTGGGCTGTGCCATTAGAGAAAGGCAGTGACTGAGCACACGGGGCGTGGGGGGTGTCAAAATTACTGGGAAATAAAGCACTTTCCTGTGAAATAGGATTCACCCCTCCCATTACCTCAAGCAGGCAGTGTACCCTACAACAACCTGAAAGCTTTTCTCCTGGATTCCTGGTGAGTTGCATGCATGCTCTCCATCCCTTCTCCCTCTGCTCTCTATCCCCATCAGGCTCCATCGAGTGGAGGCAGAAGACAAGACAGATAAGAAGCAACCCTAAAACTTGTTATCATGGGACCAGTGCAGCTGGATTCTCATCACAAGGAAGCAACAGCTGGATGTCTCTGGTGTGCCTCACCCACATCTCCCAGGCTAGGAGAGGTGTCACCCAAGAAACAACTCAGTTTTTGAACTGCACTCAGCTTCACACCCAGCACTGGTCACTGCATTTGAAGCTTGGTCCTGTTTGGCCCCAACCACCCTGACACTGTTCTGAGGCAAAAGCTCTGGTTCAGAGCTCATTCCCACTTGTAGAGAGTGGGATCTAAGCACTGGGCTGAACACAACAGGTTCTCTGGTTCCTTTAAGTCAACAGGTTAAAACAACCCGAGGTGAGGGTTAAACAATATAGTGAAAGAAGTGGTACCTGTTTTAATTGTTCCAACTTGGGATTGTTGCTTGAGGTGGGTTTTATGAGTTTCCTCTTCTCACCTGTGGAAGGAAGCAAACATTACCACTGTCAGATATGACTACTGCAAGTTTGTGGCAAAATCTGCTGCGAGTTTGATATTCCTAATAATCACTAATTGCCCTATGTAGAAACACTGCCATTTTTTGTTTTAATTGATTCCTTATCAGTGAAAAAATGGTACATCAGACTATTAAAACTGCTGTTGGAAATGATGCTTCAGTGTAATTCAAACCAGTAAGATCTGGATGGACAATTCTGGAAAGAGGAAAATAAAGTCGGTCAGAACCTTATATTATTTAAATTTCATTTAAATAACCAGCTGGAATTTGTATTGCTTCTTCATGATCTGCCTCCAAAGAGTCAGCAGCCAAATTACACACAGATAAAACCATGGGATCACTGCTGAAAAATATACAATTCATCTGCACTGCACATTTTCTGTTTGGTTCTTCAGGTGGTTCTTTGGACCTTTTTCTCTCCAGGTTCATAAAGTACATACCTTTAGCAATGACGGTCTCATTTAGGAACTGATCAACTGTAGAAGGCTGTGTAAACACATTTAAAAAGTCTGAATCCATTGTCTTTTCTCACTCCTGGTAAACTGATAAAAAATATGGGGGGAAAAGGATCATTAGTAAAGGCACATAAAGATCAAAATTATTGCTAAGAAGAAAACAAACTGAAGGGGGTTTTATCAGTTACTGTTTCATGATCAGTGGATTGTTTTAAAAAAAACCCTGAAAATATATTTAAATGTATGTAAAGAAAAAGAAGCTAAAAACAATTTTCATTTTTCCTGTTAATCATCAAAATGTAGGAGAAAAAGCCCTGAAGCACTAAAACTTGCTGTAATTCCATCTAATTCTGTTTTACCTCTAATAGGTGAGTAAAATCCTATTTCAATTGAAATTAAAAAAACTTTCAGTCCCAAGGTATTAACAAGTATCTGCTAGAAAATTTGAAAATTACCAATACTTAGAGACTATTAAATCAAGACCACAGTAGTTAAATTACCATGCTGCCTACACAGATAACACCAAAGACAGAGCCAGGCTCTAACAGGCAGCTTACATGGCAGGGAATATTCAGTTTTAAGTGCTTGCCTAAAGTCCACAAGACTAAAAAAACCAGGATGCTTTAGCTTGGCAAAGATTGAAACTCAGCAAAAAGTTAGAGTTATTGGAATCTGCAGCTCTGAAGGCTCTCCCTCACATATTTATTACAGGCTCCAGTCAAAATGCTTTGTGAACATGTATTTTATTTTAACAGGGATTTTGCCAAGGCGAGAATATTGGTACAAAATAGCCACTGGATGCTTTTGCACATCAATCTGGTAATTCAAGTTGGCTTAAAATTGCCAGCAAGGTACTAGGAGAGAGGGTCACAAGGGACTTAATTTCATTATGGTGGCTGCAAAACTGAGTGCTATCTCTAAAAACGTCCTTGATAAAATAAAATAGGAGAAATTGAGTCATGTAGTGCCTGAGGAACAACTGAACTATCTGAGATAAGACTGCCCTGAGAGAGAAAAGTTAATTAATACAGAGCAACCTGAGGACTACTTACTTTTAAATTAGGTTTCTGACAGCTGTTATGCCTTGGGAAGTCCTGCTTATAATGGTAATTGTCTGTGTAAACCACAGCTTACACTCTCTCAGCTTTGCTGCAAAACTCAGCTTGTGTCTCTCTTATTTCCCTCGACTATCTGCCCCTCAGAGGGATGTGTTGTGCTGCCACACCCTTGGGCTCTGCGTGGCCCAAACATCAGAAGCCACTCTAAAATTTGGAAACCTGTAAGGAAAGGCCTGAAATTCAGAATGTGCAATAATGTAATATCATCTCCTCTAAGGCCTCAGTCCTGTGTCCTATTCAGTCAGTGTTAAAACTGCTGCTCTGGGTAACCAGACTGACTTGCCCATTACCCAGTCCCTGACAGCACTTCCCCCAGAAGTAGAACCTTGGGGGGGGGGGGGGAAAGAACCCCAAAAACCCACAAGCAGAGCAAGGATATACAGAAACTTCCCTAAAAACCACTTCAACAGGGTTGCAGTTCAGCCTTCTTGAATCAAAACGGGTTCTGGTCATCAGGAGTTGTCAATATGTTGATGTTCCTCTCCTCCCAATTCCTGACACTGTCTGATTTTTGATCAGGCTGACACTTTAATGGAGCTATTTATTATATGTCCAAGATCTTATTGCTAAGCAGCAACACCCCTCAGAGCCCATCATTTGTCTGCAGAGCCAGTGTTGTGTTTCACCTCTCATCTCTCAATATCGATTCCCCACAGGCATTGCAGAGCCTGAGCACTGCAGCTATTTACCACTTAGACTGGTTTGTTGCTAACAATTAGCATTCACAAGCAGCCCTTCCTGTGGCATGAGCCTTGGTCCTAGATCATTGTAGGAGACAACTGCTTGAATACTGATTGTAAAGGCATTTCATTGTGACAGTTTTAAATAAAACTGAGGTCTAATTATTGACTATGAACGTGACTTGCAAGTGAAATTTTCTCAGGTCAGGAACTAGGCTATTGCACAACCTTGCAATGCCACTACTAGTTCTCTAGTTGGGTCAGAGTGGGTCTTCACAGTGTGGCTGTCAGATACCCCTGAGATAAAGCATTCATGAGTGGTGGGCTCTGGCTTACAAACTACCTGTAGAATACACACAAAGCACTTACCAGTGGTACCAAACTGTTTCAACAGCTTTACTTCCTCCTTGAAAAGACAAAAGCCCTACTCTGCATTAGCTCACTTTCCTGGGAACACTTGTCTAGATCACACAGAGAAGGGAACAAAAACCAAGTGGGAATGTCAATGTTAACATTTCTGTCTTCAGAAAACCGCAATAAAAAAATAAATAAGGAAAAAAGAGAATGTGCATTGTGCACCGAGTTTAAAACTTACTTTTACTTAAAACTTACTTCTACTTCCCTGTTTAGTGCCAGACCTTTCAAGAGCCACTTTTTGCCCATCAGCATCAGACGTTATCTCAGCAAGAACGGTTAAAAAAGGAGTCCCTTTTCCCAAACTTACTGTTCTGTCCTCCAGTGGCTCTCCAGTAGCTCTTCCAAGATGTTCTCCGAGCAGGCACGATGGGATCTGTGTGTGGGGGGACTGGCCCCAGGCTGGGAGCCTCTGCCATGCAGGGCAGCCAGGGTGTGTGAGGGGAAGTGGTGTGGTGCTCACTGCTCCTGAAAACGAAACCAGCCTCGCAGCCGGAACCTCACCGGCTGTGTGCCTGCTCCCTGCTGCAGGCCAGAGTAAACAGGCACACAAATGCAGGAAACGTGCAGCTCCTGGAGCCCCAGAGAGCACTGCAGAGAGAGGAGCACTCCTGCATGGCACTGCCCAGCTCTGCTGCCCTGCCCTGCCTCCGGGGAGACTCACTTCGGCTTGGCACGTAACCATAAACCAGCCAAGAACAGCCAAAATCCTGCTTTTACTCATGGTCCTTCAAGCATTTGGTAAAGCAGATCAGCACCACTCTACCCACCTGGTGGAAGGAGACATCCAGGCAGGAGATGAACTCATTTGTCCCTGGAGAGCCCATTAGCCACAGCAGGGCCCAAAACCCTGAGAGCAGAGTTATCCCCACTAGGCAGTGCTGCTGCTCTTCCTCCCCTCTGCCATCACTGATTAAACAGGAAAAGCTTCCTCCAGTGACCAGTTTCCCTGGACATTTCCTGCAGGTTCCAGCTACATCTGTTAAATCTCCCAGCAAGCAAAAGTAACCCAGCAGTCCTCCACCAACCCCCAAAATGAGAGACCAGACCAGCCACTCTAAGCTGGTCTGGTTTAACTCTCTGAAGGGACTGACTCCTGTATTGAGCTCCATGCCAAAGACAAGAATGGACAAAATGGGATAAAGGAAAGTGGGCTGAAAACAGATTTCCAGCTGCCAGGAATTCTTAGTAACTGAGAACTTAACCCAAAATCCTGAAGCAAGGGGCAAACATAACTCTTTCCTAAGCAGAAAACAAGCACAACAATACAACAAATTAACAAAGACCCAGAGTACCTTCTCACCTATACAGAAGTGCATTCTGCAGTCTAAACATGTAGTAAGTGAAAACCAGAAAGCAGGTATTGTTGGAGATGCTATTGGGAACTTTGGCCACAGCCAGTTTCATATCAGCAGGCAGAGGGAGCAGGAAATCCATCTGTAATTTCCAGGTCTCTCCCTACTTCAACCAGCAACACCAAGGACTTCTTTCTTGAAAGCCTCGTTCACAATGGGGTGTCAGTACTAAAACAATAATTCTGGAAAACACATGATGGACAACCCTCTTATTTTCCTCCAAAACCTGACGTTGCCTGTGGTGCATGGAGCATCCAGTCTTCTCCAGAACAGGACTAGTAAATCCTGCATCGGAGCTGCAGCTGATTCCTTGCCCATCTCCCCCCACCCCGAGTGTTCCTGTGCATTCCCAAAGCACATCCCATGCACACACACCCCCCCACACACACCTGGCCCTCACTTAAAAACAGCCACTGAAGAACAATTCAAGGAACCAACAGCAGTCCCACCAACAAGTTCTCATAATGCATTTTCCTGGTTCCCCACAGCCCTGCAGTACTGGAGAGCCACTCCGTGCTCTCTCCATACCAGAGCAAAGGGAAGCACACAGACATTTCCAGTGTCACTCCAGACTTCCCTGAGCTTCCCAAGAGCTCTGTAGGCACAAACTGGCATGCCAGGATTCCCTCCTGTGCTGATGTGCAAGAACTGGCTCCCAAACCTCCTAACAGGTATCAGAGAGTGTAATTCAGTTGCTTTTCTCTTGTGGAAGGAAAAAGGTAAACGAGTTGATCAGATCCAGCAGCTGAGCAATAATAATAATAAAAAAAAAAGCTGAAGAAACCTACAGAAGATGTAGTTTGTGCTGCCCACACCATCTCATCATCTGTACCAGGGCCAGAAACAGAGATCACTGCTTTTCCTGGTGAGCACAGACCATCCTATGTCTAAGATCCTTGATGGTTGAACTTCACCATTCAAAAGTTCTTCCCACAGACTTGTCCAATTAGCAAAAAATAAAAGATGGAAAAAACATAGTGATCATTATTTGTTTATTTGAATAAATAGTACAACTGTCACAAACCATGCATAACACTCCTGCTGTGAATTCTAGCAAACATAGCATTGCATTGTAACTTGCTTACAGTACACAACTCTTATCACTGTGCTGGGTGCCTCCAGCATGTGACAAGCCCAGAATTTTATCTGCAAGGCTGGTTTTTAGTAGTTAGAAATCCAGAGTAAACACTGTTAAAAACAGTAGAAAAGACTCTTAAAAAATACATTAATACTGAAAGCACTGGGACGTGGAGAAGAGGGGTAAGAAATCCTTTAAGGTTTAAGGTGATTAAAAAAATCTGCCACTGTTGGTTTTTCATCTTGAAAACCAGAATGCAGCTGAGTGTCTGAGCTTCTTCTGTGGTAAGAGAGCTCAGTGGAACTGAGTATGTCCAGTAAATGCACCTAAAAGTCAAGTTGTATGGACTGGAAAAGACAGACATTCATTAAGTACTTCCAAACTGTGGAAGCTGCAGAGCATCCAGCACTCCAGGTGAACCCAACAGGGTTGAGATCTGTCCCACTGGTACCCAGGGAACAAATGTCAAACCCCAGTAACACAAAGAGATCGTGAATAACACGTTTAACATCAACTTGGAGGCAGGACAAAAGCAGGTGCTCAGAGAAGCTTTACCTACATTGCTCTTCCTGGAAACTGGACTCATTGGGATGAGGCTCCAGTTCAATTAAATCTGCCCTGCTCACAGTCCTGTTAACAATAAATACAGTGTCTGCAGGAGCAGTGGGTGGGAAGGAGCCAAGGAACGAGTGTTTTCCCTGTGCAATGTTTACAAACAGACTTAAAAACAACAGAACGTGGTCTAACACCTCCCCCAAACTTGCTCAGGGCATCCAGCCTGCAGTCCTGGCTGGGACATCAACATAAGGCTGCAGTCCTGGCTGAGAGGGATGTTCCCATAAGGAATGCCTCAGGCTGCAGCAGAGGGCCTCGGGGTTCTGCAGAGTGACCAGAAATGCAGAACTGAACAAACTCCTAAAACCTGTCAGTACAGTCACGTCTGCTCACATGCCATGAAGATGCCAGCTGTACAATCCCATCTCAGAAAGAACCATCCCCAAAGCCAAATCCCTCTTATCAATCCCTTCTTGTTATTTTCTGTTTGCTTTTGGTATTAATATTGCTCCCAATTTCAAAAACTAGACTCTCTGGAGGTCTCTCCCAGCAGCTCAGAGAACAGAAACAGCACTGGCCCTTCCACATCACCTGAAGGGAGGTGGGTGGAATGACAACTCTTTAACAGGCTTGTTTCCCACAGATAACACTGCATTAAACTAAAAGTTTGAGAGACCTTTCAGTTCAATCACCTCCCAGCCCCGTGATCCCCTTGTTTCACAGCACACAATTCACACCAATGTCCTTAACTTGCCAGGAGAGCTGACCCACGAGCCTCTGGTACCTCTGTAAATCTCCTCTGTAATAACTGCTGGTGCTATGGCAGTTTAGTGGCCCCATCTGAACTCCAAGTCCAATTTTTCTGGGCTCTGTATAAACAGTGAGAGGTCTGCTCCTTCCTGAAGCACAGGCAAGCAATGATTCCCCCAGAGAACCTTACACAGCAGAGGAGATCTGAATTTTTCATGCAAAGAAAGGGCAACTTCCTTCCATCTTTGTTTCTGGGGAGGTGACCCAAGTAATTCAAATGCTAAAGCTCAGAACCCAAAAATATGAAACAAAAGCAAAAGAAGCCCATTTCTCTCCCTTTGAGATGAAAAAATGTTTAAGGAGGGAAGGAGAAAATCCCAATTGTAAAATTATACCATTCAAAGATTGTGGTTCCTCTTGAACCTGAGTTCAAGGGTAAATAATGTTTGGTGTAAGAAATCCATTTTTAGGGGAAGAATATGCCTCTTATTAAAGGATTCAAGTGAGCTCATGGAGCAGAGCAAACCTGCCTGTTTATAAAAGCCTGACCCCCAGAACCCTACAGCTGCCAACAACTCCAACAGGAGTAATCTGACCCTTTAACTCCTATATGTGAAATGAAGAATCAACCTTCAGACTGCCAAGCTCATTATTTCAGAAAGGACTGGGGGCAAAATGCATTAATCCAGTCTGTGCCTGTCTGACCAGCTGCTGACTGAAGCTGAATGGGTAACAGTGGCTCTAGCAACCAAATTTCTCCTAGAAAAGAGATAAAATAAAAATAGGCATAAAAAAGTTAGTTGGTCATCCCATTACAAGACTTATTCTGTGTAAACACTGAATGGAAATAACACTGAGTAGAATGAGGTGAAAAAAAACCCAAAAACTGAAGCTTTTGCCATGAGCTTCAGGTAGTGCCTGTAATTCCCCTCAGCCCAACCCACCCAAGAGAAACCCTATTTAACAGAAAAGGCTCAGTTTGTAAATAAATCCCACTGCTGATTTTCTATTTTCAACACTTAAGCCTGGAAAATCATCAAATGCCAGTGGCAACCAAGGAGTGTACAAAAGAAAGCCTAGTGTAGAATCAAAGAGTCTCCAGCCATGAGGAAGGTCTTGTGTTTTCCCTGCTTATTAAAGTAGTTAGTGGTATATTTCCTTTATCAAAAGCACACTTGTAGGTTATAACAAACAGCAGATCCAATCTTCTGGTAAAAGTGTGACATACCTACACATTTTCAAGTGACGTAGAGAATACACATGCACTATTTTTAGTGGAATTGTCATACAAAGAGCTACAGACAGACCACACCAAGTGCAGAAAGAATGCATGAAGTGGAGCATAAGGCACAAGGGGGGTGTGCAGAGGGCGTGTTTATGGTCATTTCTGCCTTGAAGGATGAAGAGACCTCAGCAGGATCACCTCCAGGATCACTCGACGTTCTTGTACTTGGTGAACAGGTTGTACAGAACCCTGAGGGTAGACTTCAGGTCCAAGTTGACAACATCTGTGGGAGAAAAGGAGAGAAATCCTTAACCTGCATTTTGCTTTCCCTCATTTGTCCTGAAAGGAACAAAAGCCCCCAAACCTCTGAGCCAGAGGGATCAGCAATAACCCCCCCCCGAGTTCTGATCTCCCCAAGTCAAGCCTTTCCAATGTCCCAAACGATGCTCTTAC